CTGACCCTGACCCTGACCCTGACCCTGACCCCGCGTGTGCTGCGCCTGCGCAGAGGAAGCGCTCGGGGGTCCGCTGCTATCGCCGCGCCCAGCGCTGGCTTTATTTATTTTTAAACATCATTAGTTTAATCCTCACCCGAGGATATTTTTTCCAATGTTTTTCAGTTCGAGTGGAAGGGAGAGAGAGGAACATCGCTGTGAGAGACACATGGATTGGTAAGTATTACCAAAGAAAAGTAAATGCCCGTGAGTGAGCAAATTAAGGGAGAAAAGAATTTTAATTTTCAAAATTGTAACAAGTATTGCAACCACTGAATGCATAAATAAGTGGAACAAATTGATGTTTTTCTGTCTTCCCCTCTAAAATCAATAAATAAAAATTTAAGAAAGTTATAAATTTTAATGAGGAAGAGATTGGAACCCAAACACTGAGGATGGGCATGTAAAATGGTGCAGCCACTTTGGAAAACTATTTGGCAGTCCACAAAGAGTTAGCATTCGACCCAGCAGCGCCACTCCACCCAACACAACTGAAAACATGAGTCCACCCGAAAACTTTTACTCAGGTGCTCATAGTGGAAACACTCCAAATGTTCATCACCTGGTGAGTAGACAAATGTAGTAAATCCATACAACGGAATCATTCAGCCTTTGAGGGGATGAGATTCCGATACAAGCTGCAACACGGGCGAAATGAAAGCTGTGATTCCATTTACGGGGAGTGACCAGAAGAGCAAATTCACAGAGGTTAAAAGCCTGCGTGGTTGCCCAGGGCTGAGTTGGGAATGGGGAGCGACTGCTAATGTATGTAATGGGTTTCTTTTGGGGATGTGCAATATTTTTGGACGCATTAATCACAGTCATTTTAAATGTATTTCAGGTAACTCTGATATCTGGATCACTTGTAGGTTTGTTTCTAGTGTCTGAATTTTCTCTTGGTCCTGTTTTTGGTGTGCCTGTTAATACTTGTTTTAACACTGGGTATTGAAAATGGAACACGGTAGTGCCTCTGGGTGATGTTATTAGTTACCCTAGTCTCCAGCAGTGACAGGAATAAGAACAGGCAGTTTTAGTTTTGTCAGGGGCTGAGCGCCACACTCTGTGTAAGAACTGGTCTGCCTCTGTGGCACCCCCTCTTTTAGGCTGTTTCTTTCCAGCCAAAACCTGTAGTATTTATCACAGTGTGTCTTCCTATACGGGCCAAGAACGCCAATATTTATTTCCCTAGCATACGAATCTCTGATAAATTGTCTTTCAGATCCTTTGCCTGATTTCTGGTGTGACGCCCTGCGCTGCTGGCATGGGCAGGCATCCTGAGGAGACGGGAGGAACGGGTGCGGGGTTCGCTTGGCTCTTCTGCACCTGTGAACCTGCAGGGATTCGCACCCGTCACATTGTGTGTACTCCACTTCTGTCTCCTCGGTGCCATGATACGCAGAAAGCTCTGTCGGCTTCTGGTGCCTAAAACAAACTTTTCGCTTTGTTTTGCTCTTTCGATTTACTTGATTTGTAGCTGGCCTTGGTGAGAGTCTTGGTCTGCTGTAAGCCTCCCTGTCACAGCCGAAAGTAGAAGTCCCCCAGAGCCTACATTTTGACCCAAAATTTCTTAATTTATCTGCTCTAACAGAACTCAAAACTCAATATCTACTTCTCATAAAAATATGCCCACAAATATTAAAGAATCTGTTGATGAGAGATATACATATACAAACACACAAATAAACTCATACCTCATATAAATTATACCCACGATGTCCTAGTTTTACTACATGCCTCAAAAAATGTTGCTCTGGATATTTTTGAGGTAATGTTCTAAATTCAAATAGTTTTTAAAAATATGTCTTTATTGATTTCAGAGAGAGGAAGGGAGGGGGAGAGAGAGAAACACCAATGATGAGAGTCACTGATCGGCTGCCTCCTGCACGCCCCCCATGGGGGACCAAGCCTGCAACCTGGGCATGTGCCCTGACCGGGAATCGAACCACCATCTCCTGGATCCTAGGTCGATGCTCAACTGCTGAGCCACGCTGGCCAGGCTAAATCTAAGTTTAAATACAAATAGGAAAACAGCATCACCGTCACAAAAGCCCGATTTTTCCTATGTTCTGGACGGCAACTGGCTTTCGCAGACACGCAGCAAGAACCCCGGTCTCCTGAGGGTCCCTGACCACTGCTGCCTGGGGCTCTGGCCAGTCACTAGGAATGGCTATGAGTGTGTCCTCGCCATGTGGGTATACCTATGTCCCAAAACACCTACATCTACAGACCCCTCCCCAGCTTTGTGAGGCAGGGAGAGTCTGTGGAGCTGGGTGGAGCCATGCCCCCAGCACGTGGAGCCATGTCTGCACCCAGTGCTTCCAACCTTCCCACTCCATATCTGCCTTCTTTCCTGGGACTCAGGGCTGTCACCGGCAAAACCTTCCCCTGCCTCTCCTCAGGCCCCTGCCCACCTGCTGTCCCAGGGTCCTTCTGTCTGGCTCCCTTTGGGCCTGCACAGGCTTGGGAGCCTCCATGGACCTCACCTATCACCACCCTCTCAGCTGGGCCTCTCCCTGAATCGTAACACATTTCTTGGAGTTGCACGAATGTCTATCAATGTCTCTTGCACCTCCACTCCTCTGCAACCCTGAACCCTCGATAAAAATCCTTCTGCTTCTCTTTCTGTCTTCTGGACTTTCCCAGTTGAAGACACCACCTCAGGGAGGCCTTCTTGGATCCCTGGATGGGTGAGCTGGAGATACCCGTGGCTGGGGCCCATGGCTGCCCTTGGCTATGGTGTTCCCTGCCCCGGTTGCCATTTATGGTTTGTTTACATCTCACTTCAGTCTCCTGCAATCCTTCCACCCCAGCCCCAGGTGTGACTGTGGGATGTGCTGCTAGAGTGAGCCTGCTTCCAGCTCCCAGGGGGGCCCCAGCAGAATTCCAGTGGACTGCAGGGGGGAAGGGAATGAGGGCATTGAATTTGGACCCATAGCACAGGTAAATATGGGTTGGCAAATACGAACTCATTGGGCTCCAGAGTCTGGTTATACCCTGGTGAAAGCATGGCATCCCCTTCTGTGGTGAGATGGAGAAACTGAGATGCAGAGGGGAAGCCAGAACTTTAGCATCTGAGCTGGGGTTTGAGTCCAGGTTCTGGGCCACCTGTCTGTAGCTGTGGCCTCAGATGTGCATCCCTTCAGCACCCAGGAGCTGACCTGCTGGGCAGGACCCTGGGCCTGGCGGTGGTCTCAGGGTTTAGAGAGGCCTCGTTCAGTCTCAGGGTAGAGCCTGGGCCAAGGTGAGAGGCCTGGACAATTACTGAGGAGGGGCACAGGGCTGAGGGGAAGGGCCAGAGTTGGACCTTGGGGACACAGGGGTTCCATTTCACTTGAAAGCCTTGGGGGCTGACAAAAAAAGGACATGGAGGGAGATGGAGCAGGAAGAGGCAGAGCCAGGGAAACTTCACTGACAGCAGCACCAGTGATCTGCTGGGGACCTGGGTGTCCCCAGGGTGAACATCTTGGCCAGGACATGGGCAAAGATGTTCTTAATGTGATTTGGAGCCTGTTTTCTGATGTTCTTACGCTATTCCCTGCTCTTACTGAGCCTTCAGCTGATGTCTCTTTGCCCCTGTGCTACACCCAGACACTGGGACCCCTGGAGAGATGCAGGCTACCCTGCCCCCATCTCTGCTGTTAGAATTAGGTGAGGCTGGTGTGAGCCTGTGGAGCTACTACTGCTGGGGCCTGGAGAGGAGCAGCCTGTGTGCATGAAGTGGGAGGGGGGTGGGCAGGAAGGGGCAGAGGGAGGGGATGGCACAGTTCCCGCAGGGCCTGTTGGAGGATGCTGCATTTGCTGGGCCCCAGCAGGAAGCAGGTGGTGCTCTCAATCAGAACACTGGCTGGTGTTTTAATGAAGGAATTTACAAGGTGTGGGCGTAGGGAAACCTCAGAACCTCAGAGCTGTCACCACCCAGTTCAGAAGGGGTCAGGGAGGGAGACTTACTGCGACCCAGAGCCAAGAGAGCTTCTGACAGTGCTGGGACCTGCTCAGCTGTGGGGGACACTCAGCCTGCTGGGTCCCTGCTGAGTGAAGAAGCGGGGTTTCCCTCTGACCTCCCATGGACCCTCACCTCCAACCCTATCACCAGGGACAGGGGCATCTGATTAGTCTATGCTGGTCAGGGGAAGGTGGTAATGAGCAGGAGATGTGTCTGGAGAGGTGCACTAATAACTATGGGAGAGGGCATTTTGTGGAGACTAGGAGCTTTGCTCCTCTGTGTCTTGGGCCCTTGGGCCCCAGTGTGTCTGCTCACTGGGGGAGATGAATGGGTCCAGGCACAATCCCTCTCTGCTCTGGATACCAGGCCCCGGGAGGTGAAGTTGGAGCCTTCAGCCTTGCTACCCTCAGGGCAGACCCACAAGCCCTCCTTGGGAGCCCTAGAGCAGGCCAGGAGTTTCCTCCTAATACCTCTTTTGCCGCCTTCTTGCGCCAGAGAATGTACCATCTGGGTCAGGAAACAGGGTGGAAATGGGTCAGGCAAGGGTAGCTGTGTTTTCTTTGAAGAAGCTAGGGCTTGGGGAAGTCACTTACCCACCTCCAGCTATGACTGCCACGGGCAGAGTGATGCCAAGGCTCATAGCCCACAGGAGCAGCTCTTGGGTCCCGCCTAGGTATGTGAAAGGGGGAGCAGGTATTTGGGGAGCAGTCAGGGCCATCTCAGCTCAGAAAGAAAGCCACCTTCTTCCTTTGCTTCATTCACCCACTCAGTCAATTGTCTGCAGACACTTACTGAGTACCTACTGTGTGCCCAGCATACACCAAGATAAATGAGATGTGGCCCCTGCTCTCCAGGAGGGAGACAAACAGACAATTGCCTTGTGGTGTCCAAGGGAAGCCGAGCAGAGCGGGGCCCAGGAGGAGGAATCTGAGGCGGGCTGCTGAGCTAGCCTCAGAGGGTGGAGCTGGTCAGGGAGCTTCTTAGGAAACAGCACTTCTGGCTGACTTTGAAAGACAAGTGGGAGTTCAGTCCAGATGGTCAAGGGTAAAACTGTTTTTTAGGCAAAAGGTGCAGAATGTTCAAGGACAGAAGCATAAAGCTATACTGTGTGCCTGGGGAGTCTAGGGGTTGGGAGGTGAGCAGGGGTGGCTCACACAGGGCCTCCGGAGGAGGGTGGGTTTTATCGGGGGCAACTGGGAGCTACTGAAAGTTATAAACTGGGAACATCATAGGCAGATTTTCTCCTTGAGAGAAGTTCTTTGATTACTGAGTAAGATATGACCAGGGGTGTTGTCATAATGCGGGTGAGAGATGGGGAGGCTTAGAAGAGTGGTGGATGCTGGAATGAAAATACTGCAACACATTCAAGAATTATTTCATAAGACCTGGTGATTACATGCACTGGGTAAGGGGAAGGTGATTTCTGATTTAGGAGGTTGAGGTCTTGAGTGGGGTCATTTGCTAAGAGGGGCCCTGAGGGAAGAGCGAATCTGGGGGGTGGGTTTGGGTGTCCCCAGGCAGGCTGGCTTTGAGGACCGGAGGGAGATGTCCTAGATACAGGTGGCTGTGTGGTTCTGAGCTGGACAAGTGGAACTGAAAAATCTTGGGAGGTGCTACCTTCCTCAGTGACAGTGGAGAGCAAGGGCTCAGGGCAGGACAGAAGTGGGATACACTCCAGAAAGAGACGACAACAATGGAACCGAGTGTGGAGGGGGAGGCTGGAGGCCAGTGGCTACTGACCTTGGCAGAGAGTGGGGTCTTTGCAGGTGAGGAGGTGTGCTCTGCAGTTGACACAGTTGATGACCTCTAGTTTGGAGGGTAGGTCTGTGAGAAGGGAGAGGCAGGAGCCTTAGAGAGGAACAGGTGCTCCTCACCCCGAGCCCAGGCCTGCTCCCCAAAGATACTTACCACAGGAGCTGTTGCAGGCTGCCCAGGGGGTAAGATGGTAGAGAAACTGAGCTGCTAGGGAGGCAGACAGAGCCAGGAGTGGTTGGGGTGTGAGCAGGACATGAAGCTGGGAGGTTTGGACAGGTACCCAGTACATGGGCAGGGATGGGGGCTCCAGGGAAGGACAGGGAGGGTTTGCAGACTGGACTCTGCTCTGCCCTTAAGTCTTGAGGGAGGTGGAGGGTTGAATGTGGCAGGGGCAGCCCCACCTCTCACCCTTATCCTTCAGCTCCTCAGAAATCTTGCTCAGCCTCTCAGCAAACAGCTGCTTCTGGACATTCATCTCTTTCAGGAGGGATGGTTTGTCTGGGTAGGGTAGGAGGCAGAGGGTGCTTAGGTCACCTATGTATCATAGGTCATATCAGTCACACAGCTTTCTCAAGACTGGAAACTCAAACCAATTTTTTCAAGCATAAACTCCACAGAGAAGCACACAGACAGGTGCTGTGACCGCCCACACTTTGGAACACCTCCCACCCCACAGACAGATGCTGCGACCACCCACCCTTCAGAACGCCTCCCACCCCAGGACACAAGTGAGTCTTTTGGGAGTGCCTTGGAGGACCAGACTTTGTCTCCCCAAACCTGGGGGCCCTGGGACAGGCAGCTTCCTCACCAACTCGAAACTTGCTAATGGCTTTATCTATGTGATTGAATAACGTGGCTGCTTCTCTCTCCAAATGGTCCTGATCTGAAAATGGGATATGAGAGGAAGGCAAGTCAGGGGAGTAAGGTCTCAGCCCAAGTACAGGGCCAGCCTTAACCCCTGGTCTCCAGGATGCTCCTCACTAAGATACCAGGGTTCCTGTAAGTCATGAGCCTCCAGGAGTAGGGAGTGGAGGCTTTGGGAGAGCTCTTTGGGTGGTGATGGGGTACCCCAGAGAATCTTTAGGTCATAGTCTATCAGCTCGGGCAGTTCTGGCCAGCAGCGGAGGCAGCTCGTCCCATTGGCGTCAGCGGCAGGCAAGAGGCAGCCAAGCAGGAGAAGCAGCATGTTCTCGGGTTTCTCTCTATGTTCTCACCACCCTGCTCAGCACTTACATGTGGAACACTGCTGCCTTGTCTCCCTGGAAACCATGTTCTCTTTGTGGAACAAAAATTCCAAAGGTGAGGCATGGACCAGTCATGGTAAGCACCAAGCTCTGACATCAGATAATACCCTCCTCTGGTGATGCCCATCTGGGAGGGTTCTTTGAGAACCAAAAAGATGGCTGTGCTACTCTAAGGCTGTTGCTCAGCTCTCCTGATGGCATCTACCATGTATGAAGTAGCTTCACAGGCTGGAATGTGAAAGTTTAGGAAGAGAGCAGTACAGAGAGAAGGTTAGGTGTGTAAGAACCTGAATCACTTTGTCACATGGGAGAGGTCAGCTACCCGGAAGTGTATGAGCATGCATCTTTTTCATGATGCATCTACACTGGCAGCTGTCTTGTGCCTGACCAAGGTAGAGGGGCTCAGACAGCTCCTCCACCACAGTGGAGACAGTGCAGGCAGACTTTTAGCCAGTGCGAGGAAGCACAGTGAGCAGCCACTTTGGGGGCAGCAGTTCTGATGTGCCACATGCATTGAAGAAAAGCCAACTTCTTACTCTTCTATGAAGAAAAAGCCAGTGTGATCTTTGTCACTCTCCAGTTGGTAAGCTTTGCCCTCCCATGCCATGCTTTCCACCAGCTTCTGAGTACCTCAGGCTGGATTATGGGCAGTTGAAAGCCATTAGACACTTGAGGAATACTGCTAATGTGAGCAAGAGACAAAAACTATAGCAAAAATTCAAAACTAAAGCAAACAAAAATTACAGGAAGAGTGAAGGGTATGAAGATACACAGTGGGGAGCAGAAAACTACTTAGAATGCCATGACAATTAGATAAACAAGGTATTGTTTTTCCCAGACAAGAGGAGGCTCCTGTGTAAAAAAAAAAGCCACAGAGATTCCAAGATGACAGCGGACTGAGTGGAAGCTACACTGACACTCTCCCAGGACCAAACTGGAATTACAACTAAAATAAAAAAAACCATCCTCAGTAATCAACTGCAACTGAAAATGAGCTGGAGAGCACCCTCATAACCAAGGACATAAAGCGAAGATAACATAGAGACTCATAGGAAGTGCAGAGGTGCCGGAAGGCTGGCTGGACACCCACAGGCAATAGCTGAAGGTCCAGAGGGATATCTCAGCTGTGGAGGTTTCCACTGAGGACTCTGGGACCTAAACCTCAGGCTGGGCTCCCCAGCCCAAAGCATCAGAACTGAGAAAGGTGTCCACATAACGTGGCTGTGAAAAGCAGCAGGGTCTTTGTTTACCAAGGAGAGAGAGCTGGAAATGCAAGCACCTCTTAAAGGGCTAACACACAGTTTCGTGTGCAGCCACTCACCTTGGGCTCCAACAGAGGGAGGACAGAGTGGACTAGAGCTGTGTGAGGAGAATCCAGGGGTGCTGGCAGGGGGACTAGAGCTCAGAGGCAGCCATCTGGATCCCTGTGCTGAGCTATTCCCCCATATGGCAGAGGATACCTTTCTCAGTCATTTACCTTCCAAGCAACTTTTGCCTGGTGGGGAAGCAATTGCCCCACACTGTGGAGTGTCTACAGCCTGAGGCTCATTAAGAGACTGAATAACAGCCACTGGGTGCTTTGAGTCTTTGCTTGAATTGCTTCTGGACCCAGGGCTTGGAAAAGCAGACCTTGGTGCACATCTTGGTCCTGTCCAAATGCACCCAGCACCAGCAGAGGGAACCACAAGCTGTGGAGTGCAGAAAACTTCAAAGATGGTACTCAAAGCCAGTCACAAACAGTATCTGACATTGGTCTGCACCAGAAACCATCCAAAAGACTGAGAGTCCTAGCAGATCTACCTAATACATACAAACAAATCCAAACTGCCAAAATAGGAAGACAAAAAAAAAAAAAAAAAAAAAAAAAAAAAAACTAAAAAAAAAAAAAAAAAA